GAATAGAATAGAATAGAATAGAATAGAATAGAATAGAATAGAATAGAATAGAATAGAATAGAATAGAATGGAATAGGAGTAGTTCAGTTCAGTTGGAGCGGACCTTTGAATATCATCTAATTCAACTGCTTGACCTCTTCAGGTCTAACCAAACACTAAAGCATATTCTGGAGGGCATTATCCAAATGCCTCCTGAACACTGACAGATATGGGGCATCAATCACCCTGCTAGGAATTCCTGTTCGAACCACTCTCACTGCAGATAAGTTTTCCCTAATGTTCGGTCTGAGCTTCCCCTGTTGCAGCTCTGTGCCATCCCCACATGTCACACAGAATAAGTGAATCACAGAATTGCAGGGGTTGGAAGGGACCTCAAGAGATCATCAAGTCCAGCCTCCCTGCTAAAACAGGTACCCTACACAGGTAGGCATCCAGATGGGTCTTGAATATTTCTATCGGAGGAGACTCCACAACCTCTCTGGGCAACCTGTTCCAGTGCTTGGTTCCTAGTGAGAAGAAATCAGTGCCTTTCTCATATCAGTGTTTTTGCAGTACTGCATGTTATTTGTGAAGAATCATTCCCATACTCTAGTTCACTGTGTACTACTTGATGGGTATTGTTATTCCATGAATATTGTTGGCTGCATTCATTCTTCTCCAGCTGATTCAGCTTTAGTCTAAGTTTAGACGTTGTGTGGAGCCTGTTCTGTCCATAAATCAGTAAGCCAATATAACTGTTCCCATTTTTGTGAGGTCTGCACCAAACTGCACTTTCAGAGTTATTATTTCAGCAGTATGGAAAACCCATGTGTGTGTGCACAAGTGTGTGTGTGTGCTTTGTGTTTCTGTGTCAACCAATGGCCTTGCTCTATTGCTAGGTAGACTGGGGGTAAAAAGGAAGTGAATAATGGCAGGCTTTATTTTTCATTAAATAAATAAATATAGTTAAATGTTAGCTTTTTATAGAATCATCTTCTGCCATCATATGCTCAAGCAAAGTATTCAGGAAGCCTAAACAGAGTTGTGCACCTGTATTTTGAGAGCACATCAGGCCCATCTTCTCCCTTTGTTCTTGCTCACTGGCAGCCTCTCTTCATTTGGTGACTTATAAAATTTTAATTAAGGTACCGGCGTCTTCTCGTTCATCTGTGAAAAAATATTATGTCCCTAGGGACACCTGAGTTCATTCACATAGCTGCACTATTTTTATATTCTTTTGTACAGAGCTTCTCAATTTTGTGCTAGATCATCTAGTGACCCTTTGGTCCAAGTCCATGGGTACCTATATGCTTGTTGCAAGTCCTTCCAATTATTCTATACATTCTCTCTGCTGAAATGTCAAGTTTAAAATACACCCACTGCCTTCCTACCCTCTGCCTTGGAAATCTGGCTCAAAAAAGCAGCATCTGTCAGTAGATTCATCTGGAGGTGAAGTGCCAAGAACTTGGAAAGTCTACTGTTGCACAGCAGAGTGCACACATCATGCAGTCCTGGGCAGGGCTCCTGTGCTCCATACTGAGCTTTAAGGAGGCTCAGGCTGGACCAGTAATGTGCAGATATGGTTTTGTCCTTTTACTTAATTACATTCATGTTTTGAAGCCTGTAGTGAATATGAGCTAGACTGGCAGCAGTAATCAGAGAGCTGAAAACCCCTCATTTGTGTCTCCATCCACAAAGCTGCACCTGCAAAGGCATCTATACAGCACTTCCTTCTGTTTCAGCACTGCATGAAAGGAGCAAACCCATTTTCAAAAAATAAGCTTTAAAAGATGTTTCTCTTGTGTAAATTGGGGTTTCAAAGAAACATCTATTTAATAGAGCTATTGTGAAGATTAAGTAGTTAAATATTTAAGGATCTTTGAAAGCATCTGTAATTATGTTCACTGAGGGCAGCTGAAATGGTTTTCTTATACAAACAGGAAGCAGAAAATCAAAGCAGTAGTTACCTTCTTACAAAGCCTTCACTGTTCCTGCTGTATTATAGAGATACACATTTCTGGCCTTTCCCAGTTTCCTTTTATTACTTTCGAACTACACAGAATAATTTCTGTTACATATCTCTTAGCTGCTGTCCATTAGACTTACCAATTTGGCAGTGATACATTTTTTTTTAACCTCAGACCATCAGAATGTCTTATCTATGTGTGCCCCATCTTTTTTTTTTCATGTCTTTCCTAAACAGATTGCAGATACAGTTCAGTGCGAGATTTTCAGCTGAGATTCTCTTGTAACTACATCTGACCATAGTTCTTTCAGCATTTTTCATCACGTAAAGCCTTGTGGTTATTTCCTTCCTATATTTCAGTTTGCTTTTTCTTTCCATTTCCTGATAGCAGCTGCACACTGTACTCCTTACTTTGGACTGTACTGACTTTGAATTCCACCTTCCAGGTGTTTGTCTTCTACATTTGTTCAGTAAAAGCTTTTACCTCTGGGTCTTCTTTCTCCCTCTCTCTATATGAAATCAACAAATTATTATTATTTTTTTCTTTCTTCTTCTTTTTTTTTTTTTTAATTCAAATGCAGCTTTGTAAAATGAAGTGGTACATCTCACCTTCATTACATCCTATTCACTCCTTTAGAAAGGACTGCATGCAAAATGTTCATCTTTGCAGAAATAGGGCAACCTGTTCCAGGAAGCATTAGTCACTTTGCTTTCATTTTTCACTTATTATTTACTTATTTCTCTGGCTTTGTGCTACACTTCTTGAACACTTACTGAAATAGTAATAGGGATTAAAAAACTGCCAAATGTAAGTCTCTCTATTGCACTGATTAGAAAATAAAAGGTAAGAAACATATTCCTTTAGGGTTGTTCTGTAAAATCTCTGAAATTATCATGAATGCATGACCACTAGTCAAAGATATTGCCATATGATGGCTTTCCAGTGACTGACTTGTAATTTTTAATTGTTTGATGTCCACGCCGCTGAATCAAAATGGGCACTAATTGGGAACTCTTTTAGAAAATGCAGACAGAGGAGAAACCAAATATGAAATTGCCTTATAAATTGGTCTACTTTTCCTGATCTTTTTCTCTTAATCAACATTAATGGATATCAGTAAGGCAGAATAGGAAAACCTAATATGTTCTGTGGCAAAACAAGATTAATAGAATTTGTTCTGGATTTTTAGAATTCTGAGAAAGTAAGTACATTTTTATCATGGGATAAGAACAGCAGGGTAATAAGAAATGGACTGAGAAGGGAACAAATGAGATGGAGAGTTTTAGGCTTCTTACTACCATGTGGAAGAGATGAAATGAAATGAAAAAGCATTCTTGAAAAAAAAATCTTTTTGTTACTTGTCAGTGCCTGATTTTAGGTGGAGCTGTTACTCAGGGAAGACTTGATGTTCAGTTTAATGTGATTTTGCTTTATCTCATTGGTTTGATTAGCTTTTAAACCTTGAATTCAGTTCTTGTAGTTCTTAGGTGACTGATAAGTGGAAAAAAAGTCATATAATTGCTAAATCTTTACCTGTAACATGATCAGCATCAGTTTGGCACTTAAATTTTACTTCTGATGCTGTCTTAGGTTATTAGGCTGGGGTCAACGTAGAGTCTGAGCATGCTTGATGCTACTTAATTTACCAGTAATTAGATGTTAATTGATAAATTCTTTTTGATGCTAATCAAAAAGCTTGGATTCTTTTCAAGTCCTCAGGAACAAGACGAGTCTTTGCTCTTACGATACTCTGGTTGCTCTGCTTATAAGAGTTGATATGGAAGAAGCCAGTTGGATTTGTTGTATCTGTTACTGTAATTATAGAAAGGAATTGCTTTCATACAGGTTGGCTTGACAGTTTCTACAAAAGGCAGTCATACTGAGGTCATCCAGTCTTCTTCTTGTTAAGATTTATCAGGTTCTCAAAGCAAGTGTAGAGTTTGCAAATCGAGAATGCTACAGATGTGTGGCAGAACACTGCATCTAGACTTTCGTCCATCTTTAGTCAAAGTTACTCTTGGAGCCTGCTTAAACTCTGAGAAGCTCAGAGAAACAGATCGCGTTCTCTCCATCAACAGAGTTGCCTTATTTAAAGCAGGAGCAGCCCTTTTCCATGACATGCATGGGTGACATTCAGACACCTCTATCCCGTGACATATAAAGGCAAGCTCCAGTTTAGGAGGCAGAGAAAAGACTAAGTAATAATCTTTCTCCACTGTTAAACGGGTGCAGGTAAATTGAAGGAAAGCAATGGCCCTGCAGTCCTCTTCTTTTCCAGCGTACAGGATTTTTCCAGCACACAGCACCATTCCTGAGGTTGCTTGCTTGTGAATGGTGCTTTAGCATGGCACTGGGCAGAGAGAGAGAAGGATCTTCTTCTTATAAGAGCTGCTATGAAATAATGTCCTTTATCAACTTATGAGCATTACTCTTTTATTTAAATACAAAAGCATTTCCCTCAGTCAATTTTCTTATTTTTAATGAGTAGCTTTGGATATGGTCAGCATGCAAGGATGGATAACTGGTTCAGTAGTCTCTAAAGTTGTCTTTGAAGAAAACTTAGACTTTTTTCCATCCAGTTTTTGAACTGTTATGTTACCAAGTCTCATTCCCATTCTCATGCACTATGCTGCCATAGTTTTGCCCCAAATAGGGGTTCACCATAATACTAGTCAAGAGGAATTCAGTGTGTAGTTGCCGTTAGTATGCACAGACTATGCAACATTTTGGCAAGGTTTTGTGTTTAGAATCCTTTATACATTCAATTCCTAAAGAATGGCTTTTATTTACTTAATAGAATAAAATGTTTTAGTTAATCTTGAATGTACTTACCATATTCATTCCTTGACACGTTCTCTCTTGTGTTTTCCACAGTTCAACTTCAGCTATCAGCCTGCACCACAGGACTGTTCTCAGCCACCCTGGTTTGCTGCATCGCTTGCACAGTGGCACTTCTCAACACCCAGGAAAGCTCAATACTTCTGCTATGAAGAATGTGGACATAAATACTAACCTTTATATTGTGTCCCTGAATTGCTTCCACTTGAGGAAAAGGCTATCTATTATTGAATAATGTCCTGAAACATAATTCAGAAGCAGAAGCAGCAGAAAAAAAAATCCTGAAGTGGGAGAGAGACTTCTTGAACATTAGTCATTGGAATTGTGGCACAATGTAGAAGCTGCTATTGACATGACATAGCTGATGTGATGGAGTACCAAGTGGACATTCTTCAACAATTCAGCTCCATCTACCCTGAAGTCATTACTTTTCTCTTACTAGGCCACATTTCTCACACTAGGCCACAGGAGGTACCTGAGCTTTCCCAGACCTAAATTCATTTCAGCTGCATAATTCTTCTGGAGTAAAAGCCAGAGACAGTATAGTCCATGAGTTGCTGTGAAGGTGTTACAATAACACTCCACTTTTAAGGGACTCGTTGTGGTATGCAGGAATCTAATAAATTTCCTACCATTTATGATTTTCCACTTTATTGTGAACATTGTTCTGTTTGTGTGTAGGTATACAAATTTGCTGTCTTGAATTTACAGTGTTGCAAACCACAAAGTCATTTTATCTACCAGCTGTTGTTTTAAACGAGGAAATGTTTTATATAATTAATATCAAAAGATTATGAGAAATATGTTTTCTTGACTTAAAATGTACTTGAAAAATGTTCAACACTTTTTAATAAATTATTGAAAAAACAACAGAGTAGAAGAGTGTCAGCCTGTGAATTAATTCTTTTCTCACAAACATCAAGGAGGAACTTGGTATGGTGTTTCTCTTGATGCAGACATTGAATCAGAAGTCTTAGGAGCTGACTTGCCCAGTAGATGGAAGGATGCTTAGAGCCTATCTGCACACATCTAACTTCTTCCAAGTTGAATGCCCAGTGTGACATGAAGGAAATTCTATATGTGACTATTACACAGCTGCCTACATGCTGACATTAGAAGCAAAACTGGTCTGCTGTTATCTCTGTGGCCACACCACAGCACTGAATCCTTCATGTGTTCTTGTTCCCAGTGCTGCAGGCACTGGAGCAGGAGCCTGTAACTCCTAGTTTCAGTTCTCTGTTTCCCTCCTGACTTAAAGAGACCTGAGCAAGGCAGGTAACTGCTGTGTGCTATTTTCCATCAGCCATAAGATGTGGATAGCATCTATTTCATTAGTGCACTGTGGGAATTCATCCAGTGATGCTTGCACACTACTTTGCAATTTTCTTGCTGAAGGCACCAGTGGTATTTCTTCCAATATCAAATTCACCTGTGCTGCAGGTAAGTAGGAGCTTCTTAAGATCACAATTACATCCTGACAGTGGCTATTTATCTCCTGCCTGAGAGTTAGATTTTTGTGAAGGTGTTGTCTTTATAACATACATGCCCAGAAGAATCACTCTTGCGTCTATGCCAGACAGCAGAAGAGGGTATGCATTCCATGTATTTCTATTTGGATTTTCATAGGATAAGTTAAAGCTTAGTGATGAAACTTGCCTTATTTTCACTTAGATATGAAAGCAAGACCTGTCTTGAGCTGCTGCACGTGGTGCTGTCCTCCTGTGTCTAAAGAAACGGAGCTGCTTGGTTTCATCTTGTGCAGTAGCAACTGTTTTGTTTATTGCTTTGAAGGAGGGAAAAAACTTAGAAACTACCCAACATGAAAGGATACTGAGAAAGTAAGAATGCCATGATTTCCATCCATTTTAGCAACAAGAGGGTCAGTGCTATAACATCTGAATAAGACCTTGACCTTAAGATTTGTATATTAGCTACTTGGAATAACAGCTGTGGGAATCTGACATGATACATTGCTTTGTTCCTTACAGAGATGTTCCATTACATTTTCCCAGTCAAGGGTGTGAAGGGACTTTGCCTTTAGGTATAAAATTCATAAGATGGTAAATCATAATCTGTTTGCAAAGGCCATTTATTACTGAGCATTAAAGTTGAAATAGTTGATTTGATTAATCACTCCAGTCTTCTACTCCTAAGAATAGTAAGATACCTTAAGCAACCCTGTCCACCTCATACATAGGCTCAGTTCTCTGCTGCGTGAGGAAGGCTTTAGATTCCCAACATGTGCTTTCTCCAAAGAAGTGGATGGAGGGCAGCGATCACTGTTATTTGAATTACTGTGCTCAAAATCTTGTTCACGGGCAAGAAGAAAGCACACATATGCAGGTAAAAGTGAAGAGTTTATTGCTACTATAACTGAAATCTGAAGAGCACTACTAGCCTAGATTTTTTTCCCAGAAAAAAAACCAAAAACAAACTACAGCAAAACAAAGTTAAAATAGTTATGCATAAAGTTCTTATAACTACCCCCTTTCCTGGTGTAACACTCTTCCACTGTTTGTTTGGGTTCTAGGGTTGGAATCTGGGTTCTGGTGGTGCATGTGCACAGTCTTATGGCAAATCATCCAGCGTCTGCAGTTTTTTGCTGGGAGGAATATGATGCTTGTGTTGGTGGCTTCTTCTTCCTCCTCCAGGATCCTCTTTGGGCTATTTTTATTTATTTGCTGGCATACTTTTATACCTTTTCTCTTTCTTCACTGGTTTGCAGCTCCAAGTTATTTCTAAATCATTTGGTACCTTTTATGTATATTAAATGTTATTTCTTTGTTGTCTTTGTTTCTCCTAGAAGTGCGTTTGTCCAGCTTCAGGTCTGCATTTCCTTTAATTGTCCATCAATGACTCGTTTATAGCAATGAGATCTCCAGTGCCAGCCTGTAAGCCACAGTTCTTATCACCCCCAGCCTGTGTTACTTCTGTACCTCCACTTTTGAGACCTTTGCTGTTGTGCCAGGCTTGTACACTGCTATACCACATTATTGTGTTATAAATATCTCATTATACACAGAATAAATGCTTGTTTTTTCTGTCTATACAAAGCTGTAGTTGTACCATACAAAGATAAACATAAGTGAAAGAAGGATGCCACAGACACCTGAGCAATTAATGAAAATGCTGTGATAGCAAAAACAAATTTAAACAAATTGGCTAGACCAAAGTTCAGTAACAGCTAATGATAAGGCTCAATCCTGAAGCCTTGAAAACTCAGTACAGAGCTAATGGCCTATTACTAGCAATAGCAGTACCACAGGGTTAGATAATTTTGGGAAACCAAGACGCTGGTATAAATCCATCCTATTCTTTCTTAGAGAACAGAAGCCAGGAGTTTTGTCACAAAGGGAACTTCTCTCCCACTGACCATTTTTTTTCCAGATCTGATCAAAGTGTTGACCTGTCAAAGATGCCTACATACTGAAGTTTGGTAGTTGAATAGAGACGAGAGATCAAAATAATGCATGCCCATCTACAGCGTCTTTCCCTGCTAGCAGTTCAGGGGTCTGGCAGAGAGCAAGCATTACTGCCAGAGAAAAAGTGGTGACAATGTGAGATAGAAGTTGGAATTGCTGGTTTTGGTGTTGTCTCCTCTATAGGAGATTAGAATGCTGCACTAGATGCCTCCTTCAGTACTACCACTCATTTTTGAGCCACACAGAGGCTGCATTTCATTCATTCCAAGATGATCTCCCATCTCCGCGTTTGCTTTTCTATTCCATGATCCACATCAGTCTTTATTTTTCTATATCCAGGTTGGATCTATGGTCCACTCTGCTAAAACCATCAACTTTTCTTTATCAGATGGACATACACCTATTTTGTATATATCAGTGTCGAGGGCACAGCAGAAACCATGGAAGCATGCAGGAGATCAGTTGTAGAGCTGCCACATATTCTTGACACTTTGAGAGGTGCATGAGCATGGAGAAAACATAGTTGGCATTTTGTACACCAAACAGTAACATTATTTGACACAGGTGTGATGGTATCACAGGGGAACTCTAAACACAGGACTTGGATTCCACATTTGATTAAAGAATCTCCTTCCTTGTTAAAGACCATGTATGGTTAGAATTTGCACAGTTGCCCAGGCCTGTGGGCTGTTTTTTTAAGCCCATGGCATTTTAAGCTTTATGAGAAAATTGAAGTTTATAAGAGAATTCTTTCTGAGAGCTGGCATTAAAGGAAATGTTAAGACATTTAAAAATATATATGTATTTTATAGGAAGGGTAATTGACAGGTCAGCTATGCAGATCCTCTACCTGACAGCTATTTCCCTTTGATTAGTTTAAGCTTTCCAAATAAAATGTCCTGTAACACAAGATGAGGCATGTCAAATTTCAGGTTGTTTAGTTTTAGTAGAAATGGGACAGAGCATGGAAAGTGGGTTTAAATTTGGGAAAGACAGAGCTTGTGGAATTATTAATATTCTTCTTGTTATTTCTCAACAGGCCATTGCAGTGATCTCTGTTTCCATGGATAACTGCCACTGAATCTAAATCCTCTTAATGCTAATAGAGAAACAAGTTTCTAAATACTTGTAGCTTCAAGAACTAATAAATGCTTTTTCTCCCCTCTCAGTCTCCTCATCTACATTTATAAAAGCCTTTTCCTTTCGTGATTTGTGGCAAGTTCTACCCATACAATGGGATTTTTGCCAACAACTCCAAAAGGAACATGATTAAGTCCATGGGAACTGTTTATTCAAACTCCATCACAGTTGTTCCTTCTGGCCCTCTGTTCTATAAATTCCCAGTTCGAGTTAATAGATTTATAAAACAGAAGGCCACAAGGGACCATTAGCTCATCTGGTCTGATGGCCCATACATCACAAGAAATTGCATTTTATGCAGTACCCTTTACCAAGCCCAGAAGTGTTTATGTTTGGATAAAGCTATTTGCCAAAAAGTCATTCAGTCTTGGCCTCTATACATCAAGGTAGGAGAGAATCAGCAACTTCTACAGTATTCTGCATCATCGCTTTCTTCGTTAATGTCTTTCCTGGTTAAATGCATGTCTTATTTCTGATTTGAAGTTGCTAACGTTACACATTCCATATTGCTTCTTGTTATGCTTTTCTCTGGTAAATCAAAACTCATGAAAACCCAGGTTGCTGTCACTGTGTACCTTGCCAAGGAAAAGTAGAGGGCCAAGGGAGACAAGCACAGAAAAGCAGACATTTAAATGGAAAAATCTGTGCAAGTGCCTCTCAGTGATGCATTTCTCAGGTTGCTTTCCCCTCATTCAGTGATTGCATCAGCAAACCTGGGTAAGCTGCCCTACCTGTGCAAGTTAGATCAATCCACCCATGTCTTCTCCTTGGCCAGTGGAGTATCCAGCAAGGCATAACACTTTCAGGTACTTTCAGTCACACAGAGGTTCATTCACAGAAAAATACCCAAAAATCTACTGTTTTCCTTACTCCTGTGACTTGCATGGTTTTACAGATCATTTCAGTTTCCTTTGTTCAACCTCACAGATCAGTTTTTTAACAGGTTTTTGTTTTACTTCTACAAAGACAAGGCAGAGGACTTGCTGAGGATCAGATAATGACTTAGCATTTAGTCCGTCCAGACTATATGATCTTTTGCTTGTCTTTGCTCTCCTGCTTAAAAGTCACTGTCCCAGTTCATCAGTTTTTGCTTCGAGTTGTCTTGAGCCTATTTGCAGGTAATATTTGTTAATGTGTGTGGGAGGTAGCAATAAATTATCACATCATTTTCTACCCAGGAGGAGATACATTAAA